CTTCCAGCCCTAATGTCTATGAAATCTATGAAATCCTGGATGTCCCTGAGCACTCTGACCAAATCCCAAAGGGTACTTGGGAGGGATATTAAAGAGAGGCAGGGAGTGGTGTGCATGGGTTTTACCATTTTGCTCTATATATATCTCTTGTTTGGTCTGAAGCAAAGAGAGGTTGTCTATTTGGACCTATACAAAGCCTTTGTCTCTTTGCTTCCACTGTGACCCTGAAGTTGTGTAAAAGAAGTAAACTGGTGTTCCCACCCAGCTGAGGTCTGTGAGAGAGTAGACTTAGGTGACAGGGAAGTCTGGGGGACCTTGCAGTCTCCAGAGCCTTGGCATTTGGATTGCAGAGTATCATCTCTCAAAAGGAGATACTGGAAAGACAATATGCACCCCAAGAGCCTACCTAGAGATGCAGTGCCTGGCCTCTGCCCAGACTCGGGAAATTTAGGAGCATGTGGGTTAGGCATGGCAGAATGCAAATACAGCAGCCTGCCACTTGCCCATGCAGGGGAGACTGAGCTAGAACTACAGCATGTGTCCTTACCTGTTTGCCTGCCCGCTAGCTGTGGCACCAGGTTCTGCAGTGGAAAAAAAGAGATGGGTAAGTACTCTCAGCCCCACAGATCCCTGCAGGGGATGCTTCAGGGCACAGGCCCTTCCAGCTGCAAACCAGCTGGGACCTAAGTACCTAAGGAGTGGAGTCTCTCACAGTGAGTTCAAAGCTGGGTGAGAAAGAGTTTCCTGGCATACAAAAGCCTTTGAGAGTGCAAATATTCTCCTGTTCTGTATCAGAATGAAGCCAAGAGCTTTTAAAATGACAAAGCAGAGGGAAGATGCCCTCCCCAACCCCACGTGAGTTAGCTCTCCCTGACTCCCACCAGGAAGGAATTGAACTCCAGTTTCTCCAAACCCAGCTGCACGCTCCAAAGTCCAGGCTATTGGGAGGGAGATGGGGTTGTATGTTTCTCTTCCATATAAAAAATTCCACCCAAACTGAAACAGATATGTCTATGCCCAGGAAAAGCTGTGGCTTTGATGAGGCAGACTTTCCACGGAAAAGCCATCTCACTGGACTATCCCCAACTGGCTTGCCCTGAGGTTGTTATTTCAGTGTTACAGTTCGGAAGGGAATTGTTTGCAAGGCATCACCCTCCCTCTTGGCATCCCACCATCCACATCCAGGTGGCAGGTGGGCACCAAGCACCTCTGCTGGAGGGAAGTGGCTGGGGGGGTTGATGTGAGGAAAATAATACGACTGTGGAAGCATGCTCTGTGGGGGGAGGGTGTTTCTAGGTGGGGTGTTCCTGTGCCCTCAGCCTCACCCAAAACAGAAGTCCTTGCAGAGGCCATAAAGAGCCCAGGTGCTGAGAACAAAGTGGCTGGCCTGCTGTGAACTCCTAGCGAGAGGAAGCAGGAGGGTCAAGCCAGCCTGGCTGCCTCACCCTGTTGGGGCGTGGGGGAGCATGCGAGAGAGCACGCAGCCTGCTTGGGAAATTACTGTTTATCTCTTTCCCTCTTGCCCCTGGGAATTCCCAGGGTCTGACAGCCCCAGCTCCCAGCCCTCCGCACTAATGAGAGGTCAGCATTTTCCAGCCGTGCTCCCCTGCGAGCTGGGACAGTGGAATGTCGCTGGCTTTGGCCAGGACTTCTGACCCCAGGCCCCCAGTAAACATCCTGCCTGAGACTGAAACAGCTCCCTCCTCCCATCTGGTGGGAACATCACAATGGCGGGGGGGGGGGGTGGGGAGGACTGGGCTGTGTCATGCTCTCCATCTGTTCTCTCCCATCTCACCATTGGCTCAGTCAGGCTCCTGGCCTTACGCTGCTCATTCAGAAGTTACTGGGCCACATCCTCCTCCCAGCCACACTGGTGCTCACCAGTGACTCTGCTCCTTCTACTGATGCCAATGGGCTGGGGACTGTGTGGCTGGGACATTTGTGTCTGGCACTAGGTGAGAATTTAGAACAAGGCTGAGGCCTGCAGCATGGGTGACTGGTGCCTCCTGAGTCTGGGGGGGCGCCCACAGAAGACAGCGGTGGCGTTGGCAGTGGGGATGGAGCTGGTGAGCACCTGCAGATTCTGCTGGCTGTGTCGGTAGTGGGGACAGCCTTGTCGGGGGGGGGCATGTGCCCCCCCTCCAACATGCCTCCCCTACCAGTTGCCTATGGCCTGCAGGTTACTCTAAGCTGGAATTGACACCTGGCTGTACTGCGTGGCCTTGAGCAAACTGCTTTGTGCCTCAGTTTCCCTTTCTATAAATTGGGAGGAATGACACCAACCTCTTCTGTGCTGTGCTCTGACTCCTCTGGATGAACACGTGAGGTGGAAGTCCCAGCTCCTGGTGAAGCAGGACCTCTGCTTGGCTTCTTCCCATTGCTGCAATTTGGTTATCTTAGCTGGGCTTCCCAACACAGTCACATGCTCCAGGAGAAAGGAACCTGTTTTGAATGTTAACTGGGGTGTGGACGTGTTGTCCCCTGGGGAACATGTGCTGATGTTTCATTCAGCCCTGTCTGTTTATAGAACTGCTTCTTTCACAGGGTATCTTTCTGGGAGACAGCCAGGGGCTGCCCTCACCCTGCTCACACTTCATGGCCTATTTATGAAGTTATTGCAGCTGATGAAGGAAAGCCCAGCTCCCTAATGTCCCAGGCAAGTGCTCTACTGCTGAGCTAGCACATGGGGTCACACTAGTGTGTTGCAATCAGTCTCCTCGCCAGACATTGCTTTCAACCTCTCCCTTTGCCCCAACGCAGAACTTGGGTGTACTGTTGCTTTGGGCACAACAGAAACAGGGAAGTCACTGGAAGTGCCCCACATGCAGCCTGTCCCTATGGGGGACAAGGCATGTGAGCTACAGGATGCTAGATGGGATTCCTGGCTGTGAATACTCTGGCATGTGCTGGAGGAGGGGAGGCAGGACTAGGTCACTACAGTGAGGTGTATGGAAGGTGAGTGGGGGCAGTCAGGCTGGAGTCCTTTGTGGAAAGCTGTAGGAACTTCCTCCCTTCACACACTCATTCAAAATGGGCAGGCAGGACAGAGCCTGGATGCCCAGCAGAGCTTTTCTACAGTCAACATCATCATCGCCTGAGGGGAGTGTTAGGAAAGACCATGAGGTGGTCAGTTAAACCCATTGACCACAGTGTGTTACCCCCTACCGCGGTGCTCAGCCCACAGAGGATGTGGGCTTATTGCAGCTCCTACTCCACAGACTGCCCTCACAGCTTGAGCCTCTCCCTC